TTGTTAAATATTTTTATAAATATTTCATAATATTTATGATCAATATTGCAAACATGATAGGTTTGAAGAACTGAAATTTCGCACGAAAAGATTTGTTTCATTCTAACCTATGTTTCGTTTGTAACAAGATTAGTAGAATCAGTTCGATATAAACGTAAAGTATATAATTATTAAAAAATATTTTCATCATGTTATCTGTAATTTTATACGAAAAATGATTTGACGATGACAGAACAACTTTCGTATCAACAGATAGGGGGTACAGTCTTAAGGTTATATAAGATGCATATCTAAAATGCACTGAAGTATACGTTTCAAAAATTCCGTTAACCGTCGATTGGAAATAACGCAAGAAACATTCTTTATCGAACTACTATCAAGTAATTAAAAGTTTGAAGTTGATTACACACGTACACATAATCCTTTCGTACATACAACACATGATCCGAAAAAGTGTATTTCATCGTGTTATAAAAATCGTTCCAAGTTATCGCTACTAAAATACGAATGGTACTTCTCAAAGAATACTTGACGTCCGAAAATTTTGTTCTACCGAGAGAAATATCAGAATTAAGCTAATGTTTAATGGATAACAAGTTAACAAATACAATAATAAAAATAATTCTTTTCTTTTATGTGAACTAACAATATTAGAATATGTGAAAATCAAGCTACACTTTACAGTATTATGTTTGGATGCTCAATTCTGAAGAAGAATCATACACTGTGTTGAAAGTAAATGTCAGATTACTTTAGATAGGTTTATAAATTGGAAAATATTACACATAATTCGAGATTGATGAACGATGAAAATGTATCAACCTATTGCTTTCTTAAATTCGTTGAAAGAGTTCACATGATTCTTGTTTTCTTTTCTGTTTTTTATGAAAGTACATCAGAAAATGCTTAGAATATAAGGAGTATCAGGATTAATTTATCTTACATTCTTTATATAATTGAAATGTACTCTTCATGAAATAAAATAATCTTCTTTTTATATAGAATAATTAAAAGCTAGGCTTATTCATCAAAGATTGAAAAAATTGTATTTTATAAAATAAGAAAACTTTACCCGACAATTTTATATACCTATGTATATATTTTCCTTTCGATACTGCAAATGAACACACATTGGTGTCCCATATCTGATTTTCAATTTCCATGTGTAAACATATACCTTTTTAGTAGTAGGATTAAACAACGATTAATTTTCAGTTGTTAATTGTTAAATATAGAAAACACATAATATCATACAATTTCATAATGCTCGAAATGCACAAAGTTTGGTTTTACAGATTGCATCTAAATAAACCATACGAGGAAAATGCAATTCAAATGCAAAATGAGAAGTGAAGCAATAATTAACGTAAGATGGTACAATCAGCTGCTATAAAAATATGTTGCTCGCATAACCTTAATCGTTCACTTCACTGTATATTAAAGAATCTTGATATTTCAAGTTGACCATTCATAATCTGTAATATCACTTTCTTACAATGAAACAATCCTTATTTTTTCACTTATCAAATATTTTCTCATTCTTCTCTACCTTTTGTTTCACAATAAAATGCAATAAATAAGAGCTACGCACAAGAAACATACGCAACGTAACCAGAAACTAACCTAAAATCTCAAAGCGTCCGTCATTTCACGTACAAAAAAAAACCCAAAAATACTACTCGAAAGCCGATGTTACGGATTAATCAAGTAATTTCCAAACATTTGAAGATGGAAATTTAACACAAACATTTCTTCGTTGTTAAATTACGTAATACTGAAATCACTGTAAAAGATCGGAGCTTCTAATTGTTCACGTCACAAACTTCGTACGTCTACTGTGATCTGCAGTTTCGAAGAATCCTCGAATCAACAGTAAACATACAAAACTACAAAAACTCTACGAAATAACAATTAGCAACGATACCTTAACAATGATCTTCACGATTTTCTCTCGCATCAAGACGAATGGGGACCAATATGAAAAAAGTAATCACTTCTATCTTCAAATGTAGAACGTGCGTTTGTAAGTACCAATCGAACCAAGATTCTTTAACAATAAGTACGATCCATGGTGACAATAAAGCACAGATCTGGCGATTCAGCTCTCGTTCGAAATCGGATGACACTCGAGAGAATCGCATTCGGCGAGTGCTTCGCCACGAACAAGCGAGAATTCGTCGGTAAGAAGACTTTCTGGTCGCATTGCCGCCGAGTCTATGCTGTCGAAGTAGCGATGAGGCCAAACGCCGTATAAAGAGTTCAATGGAAAACGTCTGGTCCGTAAGCCGATGACGAATTCCACTCTGGTTGTGCCGGTAACCGATGAAGTTTCTTGGTTCAACGAGTCCGGGTACAATGAGGAGTCGCTGTGTCGGAAGCTACCATTCGTCGAGCACCACGAACTCGGTGGTTCAGTGCAACTCTGAAAAACATTGGTGTCTGTTAATGGTTCGCGAGCAATGGATCTTCTCGGTCTACGAACGAGAACTCTGCATTTTTTTTTTCAGACGTGTACGTAGCTTGTATTTTTTTTCTTTTTTTTTTTGCGTTTCAATTCCTCCGAGGCAAAGTACATAACATAACCCCACAATGATCAGTGCTCGAATACCGTCTCTGGTATTTTACATGATACTAATGATCGCTATTGAATAAGTGTGGCTAATTTATGAGAAATGCGGTGTTTTTCGCATGGGGCAGGCGGAATTTGTCCGAACGTTCGTGGTCAAATACGAATATCTGCAATGACGGTCGACTGTTGGAAAGGTATTTATTGGAGGTATAATTGTTCGTAGGAGTAGAATATATTATGAGGGATGAAGTTATATAGTTTGTAATTTTACGGTTTTATCGTTCGAACGAACAGAATGTTTACTTGTAAAAAAGAGGATAATGCACATTGGCTGTTGTACTGTTTGATTAATTATGAAAGAGAAAGGAGTTGTTTGACAGTTCCACTGAATATAACACGGTTATTAAATGGGTGGTAAAAAATTGTTTTCCTAGGTATCAAGTTTTTGCACCATTTGTTACGTGACATTAAGACTTCGTTGAATGTTATTAATAATTAAAGTCTCTGAATATTTCTTAAGGAACAAGGCAAGAAAAATTACGAGTATTTCTAATTTTCTCTTAATTAAAGTGTATTTTTAACTAATTTCGTTAAAAATTAAAATCTCTAAATATTTCTTAAAAAAAAAAAATGGCAAGATGAATTAAAATTAAGAGTATTTCAAATTTTTCCTAAATTAAACAGTATTTTTACTTGATTTCATTAAAAATTAAAGTCTCTAAATATTTCTTTAAAAGAAAGCCAAAAGAAATGAAAACTGAGAGTATATAAAATAGAAGATTGATAAACCCTGTACAGAAATTTTTCATACCGACGTTTCCGCACTGCAAACTTCAGCTATACCGATTGAAAAAAATAAAGAAAGAAAAAAAAAAGAGAGAAAGCAAACTCCTGGATCGCCACTGCAAATATCGAAAAAGACCGATCGACATCGTAAATTAGCGTTTGATTCGTAGTATCACGTAGCACTGGACGTGAGATGGACAATGAACCGCAAGGCCAAGCAGGTAAGCGTGTGGTCGATTCATTTTCCTTTACATCAATCATTATAAGTGCGAATTCGAGCCACGTCATGGCTCTCGAGGCTATGTCCGCATACAAGCAACGCTAGCAAATAAGATCAAACTTCAGCAAATGAAAGAGCAAACAAAACTGAAAGATTAATGGTCATTCAAAACAAGGGAGTCCATCCCGCTAGCGCGGTGTGAAAAAATTTACGATCATATTGTGTTGGACGTGCGTGCTCTAAAATATGTATATATATTCTCTTTCCTAATTCGTAACTGCAATAAAACGTAATGATACGGCGAGGGAGAGTGGAGAGATGGGGAAACGAACGTCAGGACAGTTCGGGAGTGAAGTTACCCCCGATATTCGCATTCCGGAAGAGTTACTCGTCGAATTTTGTGATTTATCATACTTAGAAAGTCGCATACTACGGCTCTTCTGGTATGGCGAAAAATCTAACGGCGCGGAGAGAGATTGCTGCACGGAGATCAGATTTGAAACCGAAAAAAGAAAAAAATGATTGTACCGAATTATTTGTAATTATTTCAACAATTACACCAATCACAAAATTCGACACATTTGTCCTCTGTAACAACTCGCATGCATACTTGCAATTATAAATAATACTATTGTGGGAATATGAGAAAAGAGAAACTTAAATCATGGTCAATTTTAAATAGGCGAAATGGTATCTCGAAAAAATGATCTGCCTTATGAAAATGTACGAGGAACCAAGATACCAAATGATCTATGAATTCGATTCAACTCTGAACTTCTTTCAGCGCTACTAACCCTTGTCAAAGTTTCAAATTACTTCACAGATACACGTATCGAACGGTAATTTCCAATTGTTAACAAAAATTCTACCTTCTACAGTTTCTACTTGTACGATCACAATGCTCGATTGCACAGAATCCCTCTAAGTAAGTAAGAACGTGCGTCAAGATCACGCGTCGCTACTTTGTTTTCACTGAAAATGAAGAGAGACAGGATGGTAACTACTGTAGGGATCGACTAATTCAGATGGAGATCAAGGGGGAAGGCTTACTACGGGTGCGTGCGCATGCCAAGAATCCAAGTGAGAAAAAACCAAGAAAAAAAAAATAAAGAAGGACAACTACTGATGTGTACTACTCGACGAGACGAGACACAGTAAAAAAAAATAGACCAGGACAAAAAAAAAACAGGCTCATAGCTCACCACATCCAGGAAGAAGCATCGAAGCAAATGATAATAAAAGAAGCATAACTTACGAGAAAAACCGGCGGCACGCGAGAAGGGGCCATTTTCTTTATTGGACCGCCGGGGACGGGCTCGAACGCACGCTCGCCTGCGCTCCAGATCAGACATTTCGGTAGTGGATCGTCGGGCGATTCGTCGTTTGTTTAAGACAAGTGTGGATCGAGAGTCTCTGTGTGCGTCAGAGTTTCAATAACGTTTTCAGGAATGATCGTGTGCCGTGGGGATGGTTGTTAGATTGGAAACGGATCCATAACTGAACAGAGTGTTACGCACAGTTATGAACAAGTGCTGCTTGTAGAAGCAGGAACCGTGGTAGTACAGGCGACGAAAGACAGAGAGAGAGAGAGAGAAAGAGAGAGAACGGAAGTGGTTAAATTTGCTGCTTGTAGAAGCAGGAACCGTGGTAGTACAGGCGACGAAAGACAGAGAGAGAGAGAGAGAGAGAACGGAAGTGGTTAAATAGTGTGTGTGTGTGTGTGTGACGTGGTGATTAGAACCAGCGATCACCGCGGTTCGGTTACATTGGTATACATAGGTGATGCAAGGAATGGAAACAGTAGTAAAGGACTAGCGAGTCAGGCTCTGTACCGATAATTGTGACAAATCCAATCAACTGTTTAAATATAGTGAACAGTATCCGACGCTTTGTCGTCGTCGTTTCTTGTTAACCGGGCTTACGGTGAGCACAAGTCAGCGTGTCGAGATGGGAAGTAGAATTAGAAGGTCCGAGAGAGAGAGAGAGATGTCGAGGATGTGGACTCAATTGTAGGGTCGCGCGCGCGATTAGAAGCAGCAGATATCCCTAACAGCGACTATCGGTCGTCCTGGAGAAGAGGATAACTGGTGGACTCTCTACTGGATCGGGCCGTTGGACAATGATGGCTTCAGCCAGTTGCTCCAAAAGTACTGCTTTACGGATCGTACCTTGCCGTTCTCGGTATCAACGGATGTTGTCGCGCGGGCCAGGCTGTAGGAACGACGTGCAGGAGCGGGCGGTCGTCGAGGAGGAGTCGTCCCTGGGGATGAGGACGTGCCGAGGTTGTTAGACTCCAGCGAGTCACGGGCGCGGGACAACGAGGAGGATTTGTTTAAGGAGTCTCGGCTGGAATTGTTACGCGGCAGGGACTTATTCAGGGACTCCCTGTTCGTCTCCTTGTTGCTCCCGTTACTATTGCCGCCGATGTTGTTGTTGTGGTTGTTACTCTTGGTCAGGCTTTTGTTGTTGCCCAACGAGTCTCGATTGGCGTCACGTGCCTTCGACAGAGACTTGCCGCCGTGGCTGTCGCGGCTGGAATCGCGCGGAGGCCTTGTCAACGATTTCAAAGACTCTTTGCTGTCGTTCCTTCCGTGGCTGGGTGGTCTCGGTGCGGCTGCCTTTCCGGTGCTACCGGGCAAAGGTATACGACTAGGACGCCGTCTTGGCGACGGTTTCACCTCGATGGCTTGATGATGATCGCGAGCTGATTCTGTGCTGCTTCCTGGCTCCGGACCGCTCTGTTCGCATCTCGGTTGCTCTCCGTCCACCTCTGGATCCGCCTCCGTCGGCGGCCGTTGCTGGAGTCTCTCCAGCACGCGGACGCGCGCTCTTGTGCCTTCCAGCTCGATGTTTCTTTCTTCCAGCTGGAATAAGTATGTACGGCGGGACGTCAGAATTTGTGTGAATAAAGATTGCGGTGGTTGAAGGAGTTTAAGTTTGAGGAAACTGCGAGACACACTCCTATTCGTAAATATTAGGACAGAGGAAAGTGTAGAGCCTCTTTGCTGATATTTGATACTAATCTGGCGAAGCAATGAAATATAACGCGTGTCCTAATACTTATGAATAGCAGAGTGTGTTCGTTTGCTTTTCTTCGCGAAGAAGTATATCTGAATTATGATAAATCTGGAATTAATGGAACGTACAAGGCTGTTTCTCCAGCTGTGAAGGACTTCAGCAGTGAATCTCTGTTGCACAATTTTGCTTGGTGTGCGAAGTACCATACTTTCAGATATATTTAAGATAGACCGTGTTTGCAGTTTTTCTATTTATATAATGCAAATGATGAAACCAAATAAACACAATGTGGAAAGATAAAGGATCTAACGGAATAGCTAAAATGCATAATGAGATTTTCCCCTCAATAATACCAAATTGCTTATTCTATCATTTCACCTACTGTCTTTTCGTTGTCGAATTAAAAAAACAAAAATATTTCAACGAAACTAAACTAAAGATAAAATAAATGAGACAAACAGTGATAAAAAAAAATTAAATTCCGATTCATTTTTTATGTGACCTGTAATAGAGAAGATGGCCTTGAACAGCGACATAACAAGCTATAGTAATAGGTTCTCAAACACTGGTGTACTCAGTTCCTTGATAGCATCTTTGCTAATTGGCAACCTAATTAAATTTCTATTTACTTATTATATAAATTACCTGGAAACGGAGATCGTCATTTTCCTCGCGAGCCTTGTCTAACCGTTCAGAGAGAGTTTCCGTGCTTTTCTCTACTTCATCTAACCTCTTTTGTAGAACCTGCAACGTACCAACGTACTATGAGACTATTTTCATTAATTTCTAAACGACTATCAGAACTCCAAAACTCCATTAAATACACGCAACACTCATCTAATTAAACATACTAACTCCAACCTTTCACTAACGCACGTAGGTATTTATATGCATCAAGATTTACAAGTAAAATTAAATACTAAATAAACGAAGTTTAAGTAAAAAAAAAAAAAAAAAAAAAAATTGGTCACAAAAATCTGGGAAAATTCACGTGGGGAATCCACGAGAAAGCAGGAATTAACGATAATTTACCTGATTATGGACGGTAGTAGTGATTAAATGCCGCTGCAGCTCAAGGGGCGAGTTTTCTCGGAGAATGGCAGCAATCTTCTTCGAATCGACGTCCTTCACATGCGCAACCCTGGTTGGCGAAACAAGGACGGAATCTAACGCACCTAATCGTGCTCTCCTCTCGTTCACGTTCGCCTCGACGTCGATATCGCGCAGCTCTTCGTTGTGAGCGTTCACGTCGAGCAACACGTTCTTCTCGATGGTCCTCGTTCGAAAGCGGCTCTTGTGCGCCTTCGTGGACGTCGTCACCGACGCGAACGCCGAAGATTTGCTCTTAATATTACTAACGTTGTTGGTTTTCGGTGAGGGAACAACAGGTAGGACAGGTGCGATCGGCTGAAGCCTTTGCGCACCTGGAACGAGGATTTCCGAGGAATTTTCATTCAGTCCGGCCCTCAGTCGATTCTCCAAGCCGATCTTTAACGCAGATAACGCGGCCAATTCCGATTGCAGCTCCTGCGCTCTAGCTCGACTGGATATAGTTTCAGCCTCGAGTTCAGCTACTTTATCCAAAAGCTGCTCCTTCTCCTTTCTAAGCGCTATCACCTGCGAATCCCTGTCTTTCTCCCCTTTATCCCCCTCCTCCGTTGATATCGTCGTTGCCCTCTCGCCACCCAAACACGTCACCTTCCCAACAGCGTCGAGAATATTCGTGGAGGCTAGATCTTCAGGCGCTACGCTTTCCAAACGACCCTGAAGACACTCTACCTCCTCTCTGAGCTTGATTCCCTTACGATGGATCACGTCCAAGAGATTCCACAGCTCGTCCTCGGCGTCGTCTAAGACAGCAGGCCGAGGACTGTTCGGTCTGGGCGCTATCGCCGTCGAAGCACTGTCCTTCGACGAGGTCTCGGTGCTGAAACCGGAATCCTGAACCGTGGCGCTGCAATTGTTCTTGGTGCCGCCGCTGTGCGAGTTGCTGCGACTCCTGGGCAACGAGGAGGACGAGGACTCGCCACCTTCTCGCGGCACTCGTCTCCTCACTTTCCCCGGCTCCCATTCGTTTATTCTTCTCGAGGATGGACTGGACAGTGGTAGAGGGATGTGGGAATTTTGGGTGCAGGTAGACGACATCACGGACGCTCCCGCGGACGCCGTCGCGGCCATCTTGTGCCGGAGGTTTGGGAACGTCTCGATGACGAGGTCCCGGAACTCGAGAAGGGCGCCGACCTCATTCTGCAGCTCCTGTAGGGCCACCAAGGACTTCGCCTGCTCGCTTATCAAATAGTGAAAGGGACCTGGACGTAGGGGCATGCAATCCATGCCACCACTGCTGCTGTTACCACCGCTGCCGCTACCACTGACGCTCCCAACGACGCCTTCCGTCGACCCTCCGCCACTTCCACACTGCGCAAAGAAACGAAGATGCTAAGGTTAGTCGATGATACGTAAGAGATGAAGATACCTGGTTTGCTTTGAATTAGCAATGGTGAAGCACGTCATACTGTGTCATCTATTTTTCTCTTCACTTACGAGATTAATTATTATTCTATTTTTAATTTCTAATTATTATCAACTTTAAGAGTGCCTCGATTTATAATGCGCCACATGGTAAACAATGTCGCTTCTCAGATTAATAATTAGAAATTAAAAATAGAGTAATAATTAATCTCGTAAGTGAAGAAGAAAATTGATAACACAGTATGATGTGGTTTACTAATAGTGATTTAACACGTTGCACTCGAGTGTCTTATTATTACTGCAATATTAAAGCCGATAGGAAAGTAAATATGAGACGAAGTATTATCGCAAAATGTAAGAATTTCACCCCAGAGATTTTAAGTAATATGCAACTAATGTGATTTCGAGTAATTTTAAGATCACGTCGAGAATTCTATGCATATAGTCAGTGGAAGAAATATAACGAGGACGTCAGAAACCTGAGAAGATAAAGACCCGAAACACCAGTCAAAGTTGCACAAAGTATGCTTTAGCTTTGAAAAATCCTAAAAAAGAAGCTTCGATTTACGACCTCCCCGTATTTCTTCCACCGACTATACCTCGCGTATTCTTGGGCAAATTCGCGGAGTATTAAAACTTTATAGACAGCAGCAACGTTACAACTGCAACCCATAAGGAAGGCACGAATGCACGGAGAAACGTCAACTTTCTTGAGCGAAAATAACACGTGAACAGAGGTGGAAGTTAATCGCGTACATGCTCACGAAACGCAAAACGCGTGACAGGTGTTGTCGCGTGTGAGACGTGCCTCGTTGTTCCGTCTGTTTCACCTCGCTGTCATCTCTTACGTGCCGGGTTTCAGTGACACCGCGCACACGCGAAATCGTCCCGATAATCTACGTAATTTATTGCATTCGAAAGTGTGATTTCTTTCCACCTTTAGAAAAAAAAAAAAGAATCCTTTCCTAACAAGAAAACTTCGCTACCCTGAAAATTTTTGCAGAAGATTACTTCGAAACTCTGCAAATTTCCTCAATTTAAGTATCGTACAATTTTTATTTAACTAGTTTCTGCTTCTTCAGATAGATCATTTGGCGAATATAAAAAATTGTTAGAATGAAAATTTAACGTAATAAAACAACGTCCATATTTACAGTTCGCAGTTTAACAAAATAAACACGTCAGAGTTCAACTTTCTCACGATCGTCACATTCTCAGAATAGGCGAATTTTCCACCGCAGCGATACTAAACACACGTTCTTCCCTCAGAACGGGAGCAAATCTCTATGGAAGGAGCGATGGTACGCGGCGCGTTACAGAGCAAGTCAAACGATGCATCTGACACGTAATTACCGTGTGGAATAAAGTGTTCCCGAGGCAGTTATCAGGTGATCTGAAAACGGTGGGACACGGCGGCACGCGAGTTTCATACGTTTTCGCCGCCAACGAAAGAGAAGTTGAAACAGGAAACACACGGTGTGCACTGCACGCTCGATTAATCATGAGCTAGCTGGCTGAGCTGGATGGATGGAAGGAAAAATCAGCAGTCTTGTTCTACGAACTCGATATTTTCACGGCGTTGTAGACGCGAGACAAGTGATTGGTATGCTTTCCAGGGGTCCGGGGAACGATGAAAAACAACGTGTCCAAGGTAAGTGTACGCGCGATGAGAATAAAGCGACGAGAATCAGGTTATTGGGGCCTAATATCCGTCCGTTTCTCTACCGCGAGCGGAGTCGAGTCGAGCAAGAGTTTCCAACCATGGATCACAAATTGATGTATGAAAACGTGTCGGTTTGCATGTTCAAAGAATTTTTGTCGATACGAAAGAAGCTGTTAGATACTCGAAAACTTTCTCTTGTAAGAGCTCTGGAAAATGTCACCGTTGTCTCCTTTCCGAATTCTTACATACACTTGAAGGTACGTGATTTAGGCGAAAATATGAGGATTAGAGCAGAGTCCGTGGGCCTCAAGAGACCCCGCCACAAAAATCCGAATTTTCCAGAACAACCATCTCTATCCTTCAAATAGCCAATTAAACTACCGATAGCCACAGCCTAAATAGAAACAACCAATGGTAATCTTTGCCGATATTATATCTACCCTCGTGCGCGCATTTTCAGACAGAAAATAGGTTGGTGTTTTGAAGTCACACTGTAATTTCGATCATCGAACCTGTATCGTGTGTTAGATACCGCTCCAACAATTATCTTCTTACACAATTACTCATACGCTTTATTGTTATTCATCAACCCCCAAGACCGTTGGACCTTTCCGTGCTCCTACTGCCCCAAAACAAGACCTACGAACCTTAACCCTTTCGTTACTATTGGCGCGCTTCCACCTTAATTTAATACTTAATTCTATCCTGACTCACTTCCATTTTAATTTAATAAACCGACTTTTAAAGCGATACGGCCGAAATAAGAAATTTTGCAGCCGTGGTTAAGAATTTACCGTCAGTCATCCACGTTACGCGTTAAAACCTGCCGCAGAAAAAATCCCGCACACAGATAGAAGAATCGCTACGACCGAAAGTAAGTGCCTTAGAACTTGTAAGATTTCGTGTACAAAATTTAGTAAAATAAAATTGTTCTTTTTCGTTGAAATTACTAAACATCGGAATCTAACACGTGGTAATGATAAAATCAGTCGTCTAACGAAGAAAATTCTACCTCTCCGGGTTCACGACGAAGCAACAACAGCGAGGAACTGAAGAAAGTGTTCGAGAAAGGTTCAAATTTGTTTTTTCTCCACTTCTGTCCGTATGAACGATTGAATTGAAAGTGGAACTATCGTGAATAGTATCGAGGATCTTGTTATCAATACATGCACTTCGTGCAGCAAGATGGATATCGATGGTGCGTCTGAGATTCGATCGGAACGATGACTCAGAGGTGAAGATGGTAGGCGTTGGGAAGACAGCGAGGTTCGTTTCAAGTTTGGACATTTCTCGTGTTTATCGATCGGTTGTGTAATTCGAAATGTGAAAGGATTGTTTCCGGTTTTGTAACTGTCCGTATGGATGAAGATAGATACTTGGTTGCTTCGATTGATATCGTTGTTGTATATGGAGATGAATCATTTTGTTGTGGCAGAAATGCTCGATCATCGAGAAGCAGTGTTGTACGGTTCGGATTATGGACATTGATTCGTTTGTGTATTTAATCAATTGAAATTTCTGCAATTTCGAAATGGAGCATAAATCTTCTGATTTATATACTTGTAATACTTACAATTATGCAATTAAGATAGTACAATAGTAATTAGAAATAAGTACCGAAAAGAAATAAGATGAAACAAGGTTTTTAAAGTAAAAGCTGATATTTAACATAACACTGCTTGAAATGAAGTATTAATACAAAACGAATTGTTTTCATTACTGAATAACAAATTCAAAAATTTGTTTGAGTGTTGAAAAAGCAATGAACTCTTTCATAAAGAGAAATAAATCAATCGTCAACAAAGGGGAGTGATAAACTATTATTGTACACATCAAATAAATATCCTTTCAATCACCACGACAAATTGTACCCGACACAAACACAAAAGTAGTATAACATAAAATTTCATTCGTGCCTAAATGTTTCCAACTGAAAATCAAACAATACCCCTTACAATTAATTCAACTAATTGTCACATGTTCACAAGCTTCATTCGAGATACTTCCTTAAACTCTAATTTTTTAAACGTTATCAAAAGAGCCACAGCCAAAAGCAATTATTTTTTTTTTTTTGTCTTTTGAGCTGAATGTCGCATCAAAATTAGGGTCACTAGCGACAGGTGTGACTCGATTCTTCTTATAGATTTTACGGAACATTTGGGTTTCTTTTAAACAGTCGAAGCTGTGTTCGAACAAAGTCTGCATTTCGTGTTTCAAATCTTTCTCGAAAGATCGTCGAATTGTTTTAAATTGAAATTGTCGACAAATTGTTAGAAATTTGTCGAAAGCAACAGATTGCAGCAATTACAGAATGGCGGCTCTGACAGAATCAATCGTTCAGATATATTCCAGCATTGGAAAAGACAGATACATTGCGCGCGACCAGGGCAAATCTGTCGCTTGTCATCTTCTCTTTCTGAAAGAACCGCCAGCGAGGTTCGTGCGTGCTAAGCGTTTCCGCTGATGTTCCAGCATCGTAATGCACGACACGACTAGTCAAGCGGTAAAGCAGGAAAGTAAGAGAAAACGGGGCTTTTGTGTCAAAGTGCCCCCTTGTAATAATTCCCGTGACGAGCGGGGAACAACGGGAGAAGAAACACGGACGTAAAACGCTCGATGTAAAAGTCATCGAGTGCGATCTATTTCGGTGGTCATTGAAAACCCGTTGCACGAACAACGTGCATCCGGTTTTGCCAAGCGTGCCGTGATTAATTTAGACGAAAAATCCGATTAAACAGTGCGCTTCTTTTTTCTCTCGTTTCGATCAGTTTCTTCTGTATTTTAATTCCTTCTCTCTTAACACGTCTGCGTTTCAATATTTCCATTTTTAATATTTCCTCTTTTAACGTTTCTGTAAGAGTTTGTTTTTTGTAGAAAACAGATTTGTTCTGATAATTTAATAAAAAAATATGCAATGTAAAACATCAGTTTCTGTACTTTCGATTTTGAATTTTTATTTATATTTTCATGTCCAATTGTACTTGGGCAATTTCGCGACAAAAATCTGTGTTTTCGGACGAATTTTACGCCGGACTCGTTAACACTCTAATGGACGTAAAAAGACACATAAATGGCCTGTACACTCGAAGAAATAAATGGCAATAAGCGACACATGGTAGCATGAAATGGCACTGTCGCTATAAAACGAAAGTTAAGCGGTTAATTTGATCACCGCAAATTTAATCTCGTTATCCTAGCACGCTATAACGAACACTAACTCCAATTTCTATAAGACTAGCGTTTTTATAATATCACGAAAGGTATATGCCTATCTACAATAAAA